CTGTCTAGTCTGTCAATCAATTTACACACCCAACCTTCCTGTTTTTCTGCAAAATCAGCAATTGAAATAAATGGAAGCATCTTGTTAACTCGGAGGAATTTGGAAAAAAATCTTTCTCAGAATAAGGGTGGGAGCAGTGTCTATGAAGGACAGGATTAGGAGAAAAAAGCAAAACACAGGAGGTGACTAGCTGTACTGAGCTTGGAGAAAGTCCAGCAGCATTAGACAAAGTTTGAAAATTATTTTGCCAGCTCTCCTTTAGTCCAACATTTGCAACATTCATGGGATGGGGTGAGAAGAGAAAATACTCATAAAAATCTACTTTGTATCTTTGTTTGCTTTATTTAGCTGCTTGCCAAAGTGAATCAAATATGTTTATTACTGGCCTAAATGCATGATTAAATATTGTCACATTCTGTTTCTTAAAGATATGTACACACTTGAGGAAACAATAATGTCCAGCCCATCCTGAATGTCATCACTTTAACAATAACTTTTTACAATGACATCCTATTTCATTATATTTTCAAAACATGAAAATATCAGTAAAATGAATGAATTAGCATGAAAAATAAATAGGGACAAATTGACTACCAGAATCTAGACTCACCTTCCCAGAATGATATTCAATGTATTGAACTTTATTTTCCATTATCCCTACTTTAAGTATGCTATATAACTATTTGGAATTTCAGTTGAGCTTTATATCAAGCAGCTATAGAACTGCTTTAAAACATATTGCTATGGAATTACAATATTACAGAAGTTTGTTGCAGTGCAACAATTTTTTTAAAGTGCTAAAATGGAACTGACCAAACAAAGAGAGTGAAAGAAAAATAGATAGAAATTTTGATCTTAATAAACCCATTCTTTTTATTATTATTGCTTGATTCATTTGCTTTAGCAATAGAAAAAAGTGTTCTTGAAAAAGGTTAAGTAGGGTCAAATGTACTTTGGAAAATCTAGCATGGAAAACCACTAGGAAATTTCAGGGTGTTCCATAATAAAGTTGGAAAAAACATCTCAGAAAGCAATGTCAAACCATTTTGTATTGCTGTCAAGAAAGCCATTTTGTTGTCTCTATCTAGTCAGAGGAATCAAGTTCTGGTCAAATGAGACTTTGGCTAAACTCCATAGCTTAAATCAGATATTATTCTATGGTAGTCAGATCTCTACCAGAAACCAATGCCTGTTTGTTCTTTAGATGATAATATAGTTCTTTAGTTTTAGGACCTATTCAGGTCCTAGTATTCAGTAGTTGCAGGAAATGGCATCTGGAAGCTCTATCACAATGGTGTATATATAGTCTACCTTCCGTTAAGATGTCAAACAGAGAGATACAGTTACAGATATTCTAATACATTACATCCCATGTTTTAATGACTTTCACCTTTATTTTTACACAATGTATATTCTGTGTGGTATTTTCAAATACATTACCACTACAAGGTATCACATGTATATAGTGCATTGACTGTAGTCATATAAAGTTTGAAGGTCCATGAATTCAATTTCTGGTAAAGGGCTTGAACACTATAAATAATATCTAATTACCTAAGTTTAAAGAGTCTCAATGAGGATGACGCCAATCAGTGCAACTGTAATTGTATGTGGGAATGGTCTTGAGAGTTGGTGAGGGAAAATGTTAGGGAACAATCAGATAAGAGAGAGTGTAGTCCACAGCTGTGTAACAGGCAGAGAAAAAAATTTAGAAATGAACCTCCCCAACAGGCGGTAAAAGAATGGTGGGAAATTTATACTTTCAGACTTGCAAACTTTCTGTTAACATACAATTACAATAAAGTAGAATTAGTTTACTGATTGTGTGTTTTGTCTGGATTACCTGGAAAAGCTGACAGTAAATGAAAATATTACACAGAATAAAATACCATACTGTATTAAAATTTCAAGGGTTGGAAGCCTGTTCAGCAGATTCTGTTTTCTTTTATTGAAGTGATCCAAGAAATGGGGTCCTGGCTAGAAAATGCAAAGGAACCTCAAAAAATGGAATTAAGAAAGCTTTATACATTTTCACTAAAGTGGAAGGTGGGATAAGGCGGGATATATAAAAAATATTTAATAAACATTTTAGTAATAATTTACTATTAAATTGTTCTATTGGTGTCTAGCCATCCCAATTCCAGTTTGCTTGAGAGCGGAGCTTTATTCTTCGTAGGTCCTCATAATTGATTTTGTGTGTTTTTTTCTCCTTAATCTTGGACTTTTTCTTTCCTAAAATACGTTTTCTATGGTGAAAATTGACATTTTATTTGTAAATGATAAGTACAATTCTTTTTGTATTTCTTGCTGTACAAGCTTTATGTTATGAATGGTATGAAATGTTACGTTATTTTGGTCTGTTTTACTACAGTCAGGTTGTAGTTTTCAAATAAAACTAACTTAAGTAGAACAGGCAATTGAAGTGTTCATAACATAATCTTTCTCCAAAATATGACAGATACAGTCTCTACTAACAATATCACAATAATGTTAGACTGACCTAAGAAAGAATTCAGAATCAGTGACAATGTTTGCCACAAGCATTGTTGCTTTGTAGTGCAATTGGGAATAAATGAACAATAGCAAAACATTTTTTCTTTGGAGTTCTTTGACAGAATTAAAGAATTGTAAATTATCTATCAAATTGTCAGTGATAATGGATAGGACTTAAGAAATAGTGTAACAGTCATATAGTATAACATGGCACGGCATGGCACAGATGAGGTAGAACTTTCCTGCACTGACCGACCCTGTTTGGGGTAAAAAAATCTCAAAGATCTCTTCCAAGTTTACATTCTATGATCTTAGACTTCCAGGAAGCTTTAATAATCTGTTCAAAATGGTAAATTAATACTGTTTTGATTTTATAAATACAACATGGTTGTCTAACAACTCCAGGGTGGCCAAAAAATATATCTTTTTAAAAATGTTTTTTATTATAGCAATTCATCAGTGAACATTGTGGAATACCTCATGTATAACTTGTATTCTTTTTATCATTTACCACCCACTCAAAAGCTCTTGTCAATTTATAAAATATAAAACTGTAAACTCTAAAAAATAAACATGAAATACATAAAAATCTGCAAAGAATATAAACTTGGAAGCCACAGTAAAACAATATAACAGTACAATACCGCAACAGAAAACTAAACTTTGGTGACAATAACAAATCTGTTTCAACTATTGTGATTACAAAATGATTCAATGTGTAATTGAAGTTTTTCAGCAGATTTTCATTAAACATTCCATGTAGCATGTGACTTAAAACATACAAAACATATTTGGATGCCCATATTCTTTTATATTGTATACCTTTAACATGAAAATTGACGATTCAGCAGCAGCAGCAGTAGATTCTCCATTCTGTTTTAAAGAGACTTGTCCTTCAACATTGGAAAGACAAATTTGTAGCTCTGGTTACTCAGTGATTGAAGACGATGTTATTTGAGCTGCGGTGGCGCAGTGGTTAGGGTGCAGTACTGCAGGCTATTTCTGCTGATCTCTGGCTGCCAGCAGTTTGGCAGATCGAATCTCACCAGGCTCAAGGTTGACTCAGCCTTCCATTCTTCCGAGGTCAGTAAAATGAGGACCCAGATTGTTGGGGGCAATATGCTGACTCTGTAAACCACTTAGAGAGAACTGTAAAGCACTGTGAAGCGGTATATAAGTCTAAGTGCTATTGCTAAGTGCTATTGCTATTTGCAACTTAACTTGCGTACAGATGTAAGAAATATGTATGTACAATTACAATAAAATAAAATACAATATAATTTTAGGAGAGGCATTGCCTCAGACAGGCCCTGTGAACAATCTGAGGGTCCTCACTACTCCTACTTGAAGAACTGGTGAAATTATGGCTAGGAGGCCCTTTACACAGCTTTGTATTGTGCATCAGTTGCAGCTGTTCCTAGATTGGAGGAATTTGCTCACTGTCACACATGCTTTAGTCACCTCCTCGTTCAATTTCTGTATTGCACACTACATGGCACTGCCTTTGAATCGCAAGATGGAGGGCAAATAAATTTGATAATAATTATAATAACAGTATCCAGAAGCTTCAATTCTATTTAAATTAATTAAAAATGTCCCTTTTTGAAATAGTATGCAGGTTGCCTTTGCTTAAGTCCAGTCACTTAGCAATCATTGAATGTTATGATAGACTCCCTCACAAAGGTACTTATAGTCATTTCTGGAATTCCAACAACACTACCATGGTCATATCATTATATTTTGGCAACTTGCTCACCTGGTTGCAGCATTCCCCAATGATATGATACAATTTACAACATTTTTGCTGGAAACTGGCCAAAAAACACCCACAGAAATGGATTGACTCACTTAACGATCCTGGTGTTCACTTAATGACTGCTGAAAAGAAGTTGTACAATCAAGTCAGTCATATGGATGTCTCAACTTTTAATTGTTATTACTTACAATGAGAAATCCAGGTTCTAATATGGTCATAAATCAAGAATTACCTGTAATAAAATAATAAAACTTAAATGGTCTATTTAAACAATTAAGTCCAACTATCTATTCAACATTCAGCTGAATACATTTCTTTAGCACATATAAAACCAACCAAATAAAATGGAATGTTGTTGCAGGAAAATATGAAGTATAGTTTAATAAAGCCTGAGTTATATTTTTAGTGTTGTATAAGTGTCAGAACCTAAGTAGGAAGCAAGACCAAGGAAGCAGAAACTACAGGTTTCAATAAATTATTTTCAACACTAATCCGAGATAAATGTAGTATTTTGGAGGCTGTATTAGAAATTTCCCAGCCTTGTTGATGGTGAGTTAATTAAGGTGGGGACTCTTTGAATGCTTTGTCCCAGAATCTTCCCCATCTGGATTGAGCTGCCATTTAAAAGAGAATCTGCCCACTGTTGATTCTCCATTCCTTTCCCAGCCAATCTCCCACATAATAAAATAATATTTTGCTCACTTGTTGATGTATATGTGACATGACATATTTCCTGCTTGAATTCTTACAGGGTGATTTCACTTGGAACAGCATGTCAGGGCGCAGCGTTCGGCTGAAATCTGTTCCTATTCAGAGCCTTTCAGAACTGGAGCGTGCCCGACTACAGGAAGTGGCCTTCTATCAGTTGCAGCAGGACTGTGATTTAGGATGCCAAATAACCATTCCTAAAGGTAAGCATGTATCTAAATGCTTAGATGCTAGCAATGAAATGGTAAGTATTGAAGAGTAAATCATAAGCCAATATTTTATTTTACTTTTTTGTTTTTTAATCAAAAGATAGAAGTTTGCTTTACACATCCATAATTAAACATTTAATAGAGTTATTCCAGCTGCCATCATACCTCTCATTCTGATTATTGTGTCATTATGTAAAAAATTAAAATTATATCCTTTTTTATCATTATGAGTATATCATTTGAGTAGTAACATAATTATGCAGATTGCATTATTTGTAGAATAATGTCATGACATCTTTACATAAATAATATAGATTGTGATAGATATCGAAATCTTAAAGCCATATTCCTATATGTTCAACTGATTGACCTCATCATTTGACATGCAACAGATCTGTATATTAAGAGGACGCTTGGACAGATTTGGTTGTTCTTGCATTCAAAGTTATAATGTGGAGATCAAATTTATGGAGGTGTTGAATCTATCTTTTGTAGGAATTTGTCATTTCTACACTACCCCAACCTTTTCTGGCAAGCAGTTGGAGATCCTGAAGATCTACAAAAAGGACTTACTAGCTTGCAGTTGATTTTGTTAGCCAATTGATTAATTTTAATTCACTGATCACTAATTGAGCTCAGTTATATAAAAAGAAATTATTTTAGAAAGCTATATCCAAAGCGAGCACAACTATTTATTAATCAGAACCTTTATTATGCCGTATTTGGTTTTGTGCCCAGTATGTTTCTGTTCTGTTCTGAATAAAAATGGGAATGTACTTTATGTGTTTATTTTGGCATAAAGTGGATTATTGAAGCTTTGTTTTTTCTACTCTTTATGTAATTTTCTGTTTTTCTTATACAGTGGAAGTGGTCATTTTTATGATCTGTGCTTTAGTGTTTTCGTGGACAGTTTAGACACTTTACATTATTACTCTTTACTTATTTTTTGTCTGTGGACTTAATATTTAGTTATTTGTAGTAGTAGAGTAGAAACAATTTAATTAGAAATTAAGTAGCACTTAAAAACTGTGAATTATAAGTATTCCCTTAATACATTAGTCAGCAGTTTTAGAAAACAGAATTCCTTGTCATTAAAAAAATATAAATAATATAATATAAACAATAGTTAACATCATAAAATGGGAAAAAATCAAAAAGTGATACAGAAAGCATCTTTATTCAGCCAACTCAAGTTTAAAAAATATTTGCAAATTTTTGTGCATTATCCTCATAGAGGTTTATGCAAAACACTAGGCTACCATTAAAATAGATGGATTTTGAATCTATTTTTGCTGTTTACTATTCATTTAGAGTTTTGCGTCTGAGATCTGGTAGGTATAAACTAGGCTCTGTTGTCAAATGGACTGATGGGAAACCAACAGTCATGTAAATGTGTTTTTATCAAATATACTATGTATTAGGTAACAATAAAATCTTTACTTGATTTTCTCAGAAGAACTAAGCAAACTTTTCATTTCCGAAAATACAAGTCCAGTTGCTAAAGTCAAAATATATTTCTGCAGTCTATTGTACAAGTCTGGTTGCTGGAAAAAATAAGAAAAATAAATTAAACTACCTTTGAATATATTTTTATTAAGAATTTAATTACAATAGTGAAAATTAAGCCAAACTAAATTTAGAAACTGGAAAATAAGAATAAAAAGTACAGGAAAAAAGAAAATTAAAATAAAGAATGTAATAAATATATAAAGAAGTGACTTCCAGCCTGCATTACAACAGGCATGTTTATACAAATTTAATAACTCTTTTCCCTCTGTAAGGTTATAAACAGATATCTCTTCATTCCATAGCCCATGCCTTATCTATAAGCAATTTCATAAAACATTTTCAATCCTGGTATCAGCAAAAAATCCATAAAGACTTACCAGACCTTTGCAAAAAAAAAAGTCTTCTCTTTTAACTTTGATCAAATAAACCATCTTTATATTCCTCCATTTTTCATTCTAACAGTTTCTAATTTTTATCATTCTAAAAATCATTCTAATTTTTAATTCAATCAAATGTTGTAGGATATGAGTTCTCTTCAATTCTTTTTTACCCCATTCCATATATTTCTTTAAGACTTTAACAAGTCTCTTTAGTAGATCTGAAAAGAATTTTTTTCTTGGTTGTTCTCTTTGTTTAATATTTGGATTTTCCTTTTAATTTTTAAAACAGCCAATTTACTTTCTGTATCCAGCAAAATGTCCTTTTCCAAATCATTCTATTGCTGTGTCACTTGTAGTCTCTTTTTCAGTACTTTGTGCCATGTCAGATAAAATTTGTTCCATATCTGTCATTTCTTCTTGCCATCTTTCAAGGTTAATTAATTAGAAGTAGCATGTATTGAATTTGCAACCTTCTTCACTTTACAGATAGTCTTTGACTTAATGACTGGTCATTTAACAATAGTTCAAAGTTATGATGGCCACAGAAAGATTGCTTTACAGCCTGTAAAGCACTCCATTGCACCATCTGCCCACATTCCATCATTTTGGGCACTTGGCAACCCAGTCGCATTTATGATCAGTTGTATTGTCCTGCAGGCATGTGACTGATTTGTGATGTTTTTTACTGGTTTAAACGCCCATATGGGACAGTGAATTTGCTTAACAACCATGTGATTCACATTTACAACCACATCATTCACTTAAGTACCACAATAAAAATAGTTGAAAAATAGGGTCTTATCACATGGGTTTCTTGACTTACAATCACAACCACTTAACTACCAAAACTTAAGTCCCAACTGTAGTCATAAATTGAGGACTACCTGAAATCCCGTAGCCTGCAGCCTACTCTTTGTGTAGCTTTGATGTTGCTAGGAGAAAGCATTTCAAAACAGTGCTAAGCACAGGGTCATGGAGTGACCCCATGCTCAACTAAAAAATTTTAACAATCAAGTGAATAATTTATGTTTATTTAACAAAATAATTCATGAGTTTCTCTAAACAAAATGTATACATTCAACGGGACTCTTCCAGTGCAAAGATTTCCAGCACTATATATATTAATCGGACGGAATGTGAATGACAGTAATATAATGATAGTTATATTTTTGCAGCTTTATTCTTTCATTTTCCACCCCGAAGCGTGCAAGTAACCTTTCCTATTTGATGCTAAATACTTTCATCTGACTGTGATTTATTTACAAGCCCTCAAATCTTGTAGAACTGTTTCTGATATTCCTATGGGATGGATTTTACTCCAAACAATTTGTTTGGATAGTTTGAAAAATATGTAAACTAAAGTGAACTTCAATCTTATGATGTTTTTCAGTAAATAAATAAGACTGGTGGAGGCTACACTAAATGAAGCTGCAGCTGGGTACAGTATCTGAAGAATGCTTTTTTAGTATTCATGATCATAATACCTTTGGCTCAGATGAAATCTGTACTGACTGTATTATCTGTATTAATTTTTGTAATATTGTATTAATTTTTAAGATTTCTGGTTAGGAGTCTAATTGCTTATCATTCACCAGTGGGAAACACTATTCAGTAGATAATGATGCTCTTTTGGATCTGAAATTCTTTTGTCTCAACTTTTCTAATTTTTGTAGTTTCTCTAATCTATTCATCTTGCCTGCAATGAATAAGATTATTTTAGAGCCCCCTTTATTGCAGTAATCACCCACAGAGAAATAGGTATCTTGACACTTAGCACAATAACAGATTTGTTTCTATCTGCCATGGCTAATTTTGTTGAATTTTGGTTTGTTTTATTTTCATTGCTTGGTTGAGATCAGCTTACTTAATTAGAAAACTAAGTTATTTGCTGATTAGCAAGACTGATTGATTAATGATCTTCACATTCTATTTGCTAAACTTCCACTGATAAATATATCTACCTAGTTTCTCTTTATATTGACACTGGATTCTCAGGATTACCTCATGTTAATGGTCTCCCTGAAACAGGTGAGAGATCATCAGTATGCTTGATTAAAGCCAACTATATATCACCACTGATCCCTGGCTTGTGGAAGTCTTAATTCTTGTCTAGAGGCTATACTATAAGGAATTGAGTGGGGTAAAATAAGCTGAACTTGAATGCTAGTAAGATGGAGTTACTTTGAACCTTGCAGTGCTTGCTATGCTCCAGAGTTATTTCTTGAGTGGGAAGTTAAGCTTAGGACCTTCTGGATTCACGTATACTATTTTATGAAGATGTAGTCAGGTAGGCCATAGATAAGATACTCAGCTGCCTTTGATGTCTATTTGTAAGACATAATTAGTGTGGAATACAGTGGCCCATTGGAGTCAATCCATCCAGTAGGTTTCTCCTAGAAATAGATATTAGTTATTACCCACTTTCCTAAAGTGAAGGAAGCCAAGAGACTAGGAGAAGTTCTGTTAGGGCCCTGGCCCTGTAGAATGGTCTCTTCAGTGATGGGATTCAAATAATTTAACAACAGGTTCTGTGGGCGTGGCTAGGTGGGCGTGGTCATGTGATTTGGTGGGCATTGCCAACTCAATGTCACTCACGTCACATCCGGACTCAACGCATCTATAGTTCTGTAAAAATGTTCACCTTTTTTGGATTACTTTTTTTTTTTTTTGGCTATAAAGGTATAATTTTTACTAATATCTATTCTGTTAATAATATCTATTCTGTTAATATAAGTAAATAAGCCATTATACACTTGAAGCATTGTGAAATACAATCTGATCAGAAACAAGAAATTTGACAAGCCTAATGTACAATGCTTGATAGTAGCATTATAAAAAGACTTTTCCATGAAATGTTTGAACACTCAGAATTTTTAAATCTGGCAATCATGTAAAAAATGGCTAAAATGATATGAATACCTTTGAAACATTGAATTCTGTAACATGGATTTCAAGAACTACAGGAAGTCAAAACTACATTAGTTGTTCAGTGAAGTCTCATTCTAACATTAGCAAAAAGGTTTCTCACAGACTCTCAAGCAAATATAAAAACTTGCTGAATTTGTGCTTTTTACTCTGGTAATAAGACCACTTTAGAGACCACTG